CATAATAGATGGTAACTAGTCACAATCTCTCACTCGTATGAATAAATTATGCTATTAACTGTATTAATAACCAGTCTCACTCTCTCTTGCTGTTCCTTCATCTAGTTAAAGGGTTCCCTAGCCGTATAAATTGACGAGCAGCTGATTGGAACCAATGAAATAGATGGCGTTGAGAATGAAGAAGGAAAAAAAGTGTTAGAAGTGAGAAAAAGAGAATGATCTCGGCCGGACTCGAACTGGAGACCACCAGTGCTAGACTGATGTAGTAACCAACTACGCCACGAAAGAGCATCACCATTGTATTTCTGTATTTTTTTAGCAGAATGTTGTTCACGTTACATATCATCCTGGAAGACGCAAGTGGAGTAGTGGAGTGGGGTTGATTTCAGAAGCCAGTAGGCGTTGTGTTGTAGCTCTGTGCCAAGCTGAGCAGGGGTTGATAGTTTTAGGTTTACAAAAGCAAAGGTTTCCTATCTCCGTTAAGGTTCTTGTTCGTCCGCTTTTCTCTGTTACGATACCTCCTTGCATTTTATCAACTAGATACACAACTCGTGTGTTAGTGTATACATTCCTTTCCTCTACCTCACCACAAACATCGATACTCTGTTTATTTCTCGAGTGCCGGATATCTATTTCGAAAACCTACACCACACCCCGGGCGCCCTGATGGAGAAGGATAAGGTTCAGCCGAGAAAACTCCACCATCTGATCTTTGCTACAAACAGAATCCTCCTGATAAGGAAGTCGTTTTTCCGCCGCCAAACCATCGAGCAACTCCGGTCGCACCTAAGTCTGGACGGCCGCGTCCTTTCGATCGGGCTTCGAGGCAGTCACCTACGCCCGCTCCACCGTCCTGGAGGACTGCATCCAGGACGTTGGCAAAGCTTTCCAATCCCTCCTGACTAAGAATGCCGGTGGCTTCGCCAAAACCCCTATCGAAAAGGAGCCCGGCGCTACAATCGCACCGTGCACGAACCAAGAACAATGCACTTGTTCCCCTCTGGCCCTACAGACGGCACCAACCGCAAAGACTACTGCCGCTTCTCTGGGCGCTTGGACCGAAAGCTCCAACAAGCCGAAACATAAAGATTGGTGCCGGCAGCAGAAAGACAATGTCAAAGTTTGTCAGAATCAAGGACCCCCACGGTGATGGGGTGAGGGCTATTGTCAAGGATAAGACGACCACCTTCCTGAAGGTGAAGAAGGAGCAGGTGAAGAAGGCAAAGAAGACCGCAGGACTTCGGAGGAAGCGGGATGCTGGGGAGAGTCATCACGAAATGGTTAGGGCGCATGAGGAGAAGAAAGAAAGGGAGCTGCAGGAGAAGGCAATGGCGGGGAAGGGGACCGGGGAAATTCTCGAAGAAACGATTAGGATGCGTAGAGATAAGAGGGGAATGATGCAGCTGTGGGTGCAAACACGGAGAAAGGGGTAAGAGGGGACGAAAGGGGGGGTGCAATCGCAGTTTTGCGCTCGCAATGTAACCATATTTTCATATCTGGAGCGTAGGCCGCCAGTAGGTGGGGTGTATATATGGGCCTTCTCAATTTTTGTAAATTATTTACCTAGCTCTAAAAAGCGAGCCGCAGCAGGTATTGGTAGTATCATTGGAAAGGTCGAGTGATTGTTTGTGAAAAGGTACAAGTACCACTAACCCTACCACTCCCGAATCTACTACCCTGTTCCACCACCCACTCAGCAGTTGTGAGAAGGAGAGGACGTATACCGGTGCGTTGGTGCTCTGGAGGAGTGCGCGGGCAAGTGCTGTCGACGGTCGGGCCGGCTGGAGATGGTAGCTTTGGCAATCATCCGTTAGGGGTTGGAATGTTGTCGTTAGGATCTCTCCTTTGGAGTATTCTATAATGATATTAAATTTGACAGGGTTTCCATATATTCCTGCGTTCGGCCGACACGAGCCCGCCGTCTTCCACCCGGCCAGAGCCGGCGCAGTGTCTTCGCCATGCGTGGCTTGGAATATAGGTGTTTATCGAGCAATGCTTTGTGATCCTGATGAGTATAGTTATCAAAGCATTGAAGAGGTGGCGCTGGTAATAGATACCGTACCCTCCCATAAGGCATCCGAATCCATTGCTAGGTGAACCCGGCGAGTGAAGGACTATCCATCAGCTTCCGAACGCTTTCCCCAGCCTCAAATGTTATTCTAGGCAGTAGGTGTGGTCCACTGTAATTTTTGTCAACAAGCTCTAGGGTCTCGAATACCAGGGTTCAAATCTTGTCTATACTTTCTGAGTTCTAACTTACGGGATTGCCTTTCGGCTCTGGGAGAACGTACCGGGTTTCCGGGGGGAGGGGAGCAAAAATAGAGCAGGAGTCCAGTGAGGGGAAGTGTGCAGCTCTGCCCCCACAAATAGTTGCTAAGTTAGGTTTAGTAGGTGAGAATAGTGTTGTTCACGAGCCCAGGTCGCACCTGGACTCGAGCCGCCAAGAGGCTTGAGTCTACACGTGTCTCCGCGCCAAGAGTTGGCACCTCTTTTGGAATAGCCTCCAAGGGGCCACAGAGAGTATAGTGTTGAAGCTGCTCTTGTGGCATGAGGGATTGTACTCTGCGGCTGCCGTACCAGTGACCACTCCCATTCATTATCTGGCACTGTATTTTCTGTCACCAGTAATACAGTTTTCGAAATGGCTCAAACACTAAGCCTTTTACGGCTCCGAGGGGACTATTCCAAAAGAGGTGCCAATTCTTGGCGCGGAGGCACGAGTAGAGTGGCCATGGTACCTCTGCTAGCCGTTTTCAAAAGTATCCGGACACCTTGGCGCCAAGACATATACGAATTAGTGCCAAGGTGTCGGGATACCTTTGAAATCGGCTAGTACAGTACACACTGCCATTATCATGCAAATCAACCGGCAATTGTATATAGCAACTTGAAAATAAATACAACTAGCCAAATGACCTTTCCACTATCCCCGAGTCCAATTCCTGGGGAAGCTCACCATCTAGGAGGCAGGCGGAGGTGGTGGTATGAGGCATGGAGTTGCGGCGGTAGGAGGTTGCGATTGTTTGAAGGACTAGCGGCAGCAGCGCAAAGAGACTCGAGTCCGCTCGGCTTGTGCACAACACTAGGTGAGAAGTCAATGTTTTTCAACCAGAAATCGTGGTGTAAATACAACTACACCACGAAACCACGTGACACCTTTAACCCTAACCCCAAATGATGCCTCCAATTTTCTGATGAAGACGAGACTAGTAATGTTGAGGAAAGCGTTGAATCAAATTCTCCTGTGAGTGGGGAAGAGGAGAGGAGAGGGCGGGCCGCTGCGCCCAGAAATGGTCCGGCCCCGGCCGTAAAGTAGCACCGCGAGAACGGAGGAGGCAGTAGATGAAGCTCCAGGTATGATCAAATTGTGATTAGAATTCTTTGTGATTCCGGTCGGGGTTGAAGTAAGAGAAAGAAGAAATGAGGTGGAATAGACACCAGGAAGGTGCTTATTGGTATGTGGAGGACAAGCACGAGTTTACTGGCTGCTGCGGAGGAAGAGCGCATGTACTCCTACATTCTAGGGGTGGTTCTGACTTTTCTGATAGGGAAGGTTGAGTGTTAGGTATAGTATTCGCTCCCCCATGCCCTCGATATTGATTACCCTGTCTGCTAGCATCCCTGGAGCAAATCGCCTACAAAGGATGGACGATCGGGTGTGCGTCATTCTACAGACTTCGGCATACTGTCACATAACTCAATGCCAATGTCCTAGGATACAGAAGCGGACGCCCGTGATCTGCATCGTGCTCAGAGGGTGGAGATGATCTTCTCGCCTATCACTTTTACACCGGAGACTCAACGTGTCGTTAGGACAATTCTGCGTGGGTAATATGAGTCGACGGTCAAGGAAGCAGCTGAAGGTAATAAGTGGGTGCAAAAGTATCTTGTTGCTACGGATTTGAGTGGGGAGGCCCAGCATGCCCTAGAGTGGACAAACAGGACGGTTCTAGGAGATGGCGATACTCTGATGGCAATATATGCCATCAATCAGGATACAGTGAAAGATAGCGGCAAGATTGTTCCGGATGACGAGATAGAGGGAGAATTGAGTAGCTAAGCTGCCACCATCATGGGGACCAGCCTTGCAGCTATCAACATGCTTCATACACCTGGAACACGGTCTCCGTTATCCAACATTGGTGATATTTCAGAGAGGAGTAGGGAGCGCCCGGAGGCAGAGCAGAAGAGGTTCATTGCGGCAGAGGCAATCGCTAGGCTGGTGGGAAAGCTGTAGGTCGGGGTCGCTGTAGGGTGGTTCACTGCGGGAGCCCAAAGCGTCTTCTTTCTGAAATCCAAAGTTTGTAATTCATTTCTCGATACACGATTGTCTGACTAATATGATTTAGATCGACTCTACTCCTATGGACCCTACACTTGTGGTTCTTGGTTCCTATGGTAGAAGTGCATTAGAGGGGTGGACACCCTGAATTGCACTCTGTTAGTACTACGTCGTGAGCTGACATCACCTGGGATCTTTCTGGGATCCTTCTCGAATTACCGGTACCTTGTAACTGGATCCTCTATCCTTGTCGTGGCTTCCTAAGAAGAAACTCAAGCATGCTAAAAGGTTTGCTAAAACCAACGCCTTGCAGCCCAATAACCTCATTGCAAGCTCTCAGACCGCCTCGCCGGTGCAAAGGTGGACTAATTACTATGCCAACTCGTCAGAAGCTGAGCGGTGGGAGGTCCGAGCTTCAGAAAATGGAGCTTTCTCTATGGATTTCATTTTTTCTCTTTCACTTCCTTTTCTCCACATCTAGTATGATATCGTCGTCATCATAATGGAGGATAACTAGTCATATGCTCTCACTCGTGTAAATAAATTATGCTATTAATTGTATTGATGACCAGTCTCACTCTCTCTTGCTGTTCCTTCATCTGTCTAAAGGGTTCCCCAGCCGTATGAGTTGACGAGCAGCCGATTGGAGCCAATGAAATAGATGGCGTTGTGAATGAAGAAGGAAAAAAAAAGACTGTTAAAAGTGAGAAAAAGAGAATGATTTCGGCCGGGCTCGAACCAGAGACCACCAGTGCGTTGGCCCGACGTAATAATCGACTAAACTAGGAAACCGGATTACCATTGTTTGGGCGGTCTGAAACAATTAAATTGGCAGCCAGGCACAATCACTCCAAATCAATCGGTTGCTAGCTAATTATTTTCAGTTATAGATATCTGCTTGAGACCGTTCAGATGACTAATCATCACAACAAGCACTAATTTCCAATGAACCACAACATATGAATGCTTCCCCAATAGGAACTGTCTGTCTGGCTACGAATTTTACGGTTTCAGGCTGCCTAAAGGATAACCCCGTGCTTTGTGGCTATGATAGGCTGAAACATATCCAATATTCCAGAAGCTGGTAGTCTTCTACCCCTAATAACCTTTTGCTGGTCCCCAAAACCACAAACCACAGGCTCCATAACCTCCATAGGCACCTTAACAAACTGTTGTAGACGGAAGTGGGGCAGATTTATTGGTGGCTCCTCGCTCTGCGCAGCGGGGTTAGGGTGGCGGCAGCCCACTGCATCATCTTTCTTCATGTCCTCGTCACGGTGCTTACCTACCACTGGGGAGATGTGCACATCACTGGTCAACCATACCATTCTTTTGTTTTCTGCAAAAGTGCATCCTCTTACATGATATAGTTCTTTCCCACTCCCGGATCGCGATCGCAGAATAGGGTCACATGATTAGATTCATCCTCCGTAGTCCCATAGTACCAGCAGCTAAATTTCCCGGACCCATGACTCTAATAACCGCAGCTACGCCAGTATTTCAGAATCATCATTGGAGACAGAATTGGAAAGGTTATTGTTATTGCTGAATGCTGGTGACTCTTTTTGTTTTTTGCGCCTTTAAATCTTCTTGCTTGGGCAATCACGGGACCCGAAATTCGCACACCAACTGTGACGTAATATTTTCTTGTTAATAATTGTGGTAGATTCGCATATAGCAACTTCAAGTAGAACTATGCCACTCTATTCACTTTGTTTAGTACATTTCAAACCAGCGCGAATTGGAAGAATCGATACGTCTTCTGCTCAAAACTCTTTCAACTTCTGCCTTTGAAGCTATATTTGTAGATCAATCCATATAGTAGACGGGGTGAGCTCTCAGCGAGGTAGCACCCTCAGCAAGGCATGGCATTCCATGGCTAGCGGAAACCACAGAGTGGACGGGTTTTGCTGGCCAAGAAATCCCATGCCTCTCTGCGGGTGCCAGCTCGCGGAGGGCTCACCCGGCCTACAGTACTTCTGATCAGCCGAGAACAAGGTTGCATCTTCACTCTACCATCCATTCTTCTGGATGCTCGCCTCCGGAAAGATGACACGTAATAACCGGGTAACCGAACACCAAGCATTTAATACTTGAACGAGCCCTTTTCCCCTTCACCTTCCAATTATCCCAATCACAAACAACTCTCCTCCTCTCTTCATCACCCTCTCTTCATCGTCTTCTCTTCATCACCCACTCGCCATCACCCTCTCTCCATCGTACTCTCTTCACCACCCTCTCTTCCTCATCATACACCCGGCACGCAATGTTGCGCGCAATTTGTTTGTTTTATAAATCCTACCACCTATCATAGAAATGACTCCTCTTACTAACCGCTTGTTGTAATATTTTTCAGTCTCTAGTCCCAAGGCTAAGTAAACGTTTACGTCCTGTGTGATAACTGGCGTCAGTTCTTGGTTCGCTCTGGATTACGTGAAAAAAATATATCTTGAGGAGGGATACCGCAAGCGAGATCAGGAGCTTCACGAGATACCAGCTATCCAGAACGGTACCGGCACCAAGTACGGCACAATGGCTAGCTCGCAAAAGTGATTACTTCGCAGGGCGAATGCGCCTAGCCACTATGTGAGTATCTTCTAAACACGTATGCCACCAAAGTTTCTCACTAACTGTCGGGGTTCAAATTAGGGCGGTTCTAACGTCAGACCCCTAGATGTGACACAAGACCTAGATGTGACACAGGCCGGAAGGTGCCGAATTTAGGTATCGCTAGCAACGGTAACCCTGCATTACATCGCCATAGGACATCCCCACCCACCCACAGACAATGGCGCCAGCGAAGAAAGTCACCGCAGATTACGAGAAGCGAATCCAGCAAGCGATTGCAGCCATAAAAGCTGGGCAGGAGCCAAATGTACCAGCTGCAAGCGAGTCCTACGAGGTGAATCGGCGAACTCTATACCGCCGTCTCGCCCGCACTACTCTAAGCCATGCAGAGGCCCATCAGGAGCAGCAGTGGCTCACCCCACCAGAGGAAGAGGCTATTGTAAAGTGGTGCTGCACCCAAGATGATATAGGCTTTCCGCCACGGTTGGATATGGTTAAAGACATGGCTCTTCATCTCGAGTTAAAGCGTATTGGAATCCCCCCACCTCCGATCGGCCACAACTGGATGTCACGCTTCTTGAAAAGATATCCCGGCTTAGCGCTTAAGCTTAGTCCTCAGCTTGAGCGCCAGCGAGCATATGCCAATGATCCTATTATCCTACGAAATTATTTTACCAAGCTTTGTCGTTTAATCCGAGCACATGATTTACGGCCATCCCCGATCTTCAACATGGACGAAAAAGGCTTCCTCATGGGACTAGCAGCTAGAGCAAAGGTTTTGTACCAGCGGGGGAGACGGAATCCCTGTGTGAACCATGATGGGAAGAGAGAGCTGGTAACTGTTATTGAAACGGTGGTCGTGAATGGTTCTGTCCTTTGACCGTTTATAATAAACAAAGTCGCTGGGCACTATATGGGCTGGTATAAAAATCTAACTGCAAAGGAGAGAGCTTATCGTTTTAGTTATTCACCCAATGGCTGGACTGATGATAAACTAGCCCTTGAGTGGATAAAACAAATTTTCCTTCCTGATGTAACCGCCTCTCGGGAGATGCGGTAAACGTAGGGTTAACAGGCCTTGTTCTTTACCGAAAGTGGTAACTAGTGAAGCAAAGTCCGGAGGCTTTAACTGAGGTTGTTGAAAAGACTTCTCACTATATCGTGACTACTGAAGTCTCAGAGATGTTTGGTGGATCTCAAACTAAAGATTCTCGAAGCGAACTGAAGAAGGTAACTGTTCAACCAAGTATATTGAAAACTCTGTCTGTCGAAGTCTGCCTCTTCTAACGAGAAGAATAGCAGTTCTTAAATACACTTCCTAGGCTACCGGGAGCCATGTTCTCATAACATATAAGACTCCAAAACAGTAGCCTTGAAACCAAACATAAAACATATAGAGTATCAAACCGATACTCAAAACCAAACATAAAACATATAGAGTATCAAACCGATACTCAAAACCAAATATAAAATATATAGAGTATTAAACCGATACTCGAAACCAAACTTAAAACATATAGTGTATCAAACCCTATATTATCAGGCTAGAGGTACACCTCGTTTCCTGAAACAAGTTCAAAACTCAAACAGTATCAACTGATACATGAAAATCCTAAACCAGTAACCAGTACCGGTTACACCTGAGACTTCTGTAATATGCTCTGATCTTCCCTGACTACTCATTTTTCGATGGGCATGGATCCCATATTGCCTTCCAATTTGTCTCCTTATATTTTACAAATAATGTTTTGCTTCTTTGCCTTCTCTTCCACTCAACCCATTTCCTCCAACCTCTAGATGTTGTCCTATTTGGCCCTTACCAGCATTTCTATGGGTTTGCAGTTGATAACTATATTCGCTCCAGCCAAAACATCGTAGGAATAAAGAAGTCAATTTTTATTCCCTTCTTAACTGAAGCGTGAGAGGCAACATTTACTCCACATAATATCTAGCAATCCTTTACTAGTACCGGTATCACCCCACTGAACCCACGCCGCATCTTAGGGAAACTGATTCCTTCCATCCCGAAACGGCGCGATTCATTTGGTACTATCAAGCAGGCAGCAGGCAGCCGGGAAATACGCCATAAAGTTAAAGCAGCCGGAGAACTCCTAGCTGGCCTTTCACTTGATGGCCCAGATTCTTCTACTAGTATCGAACGCATGAAGGGGATAATGCGCTCCCTTGGTCATCAATTGGAAGAAGAAATCGCCTCCAAGGAGCTTTGGAGGGAACTTACACTTAAGCTTCAGAGTACGGACAAGTTATACAATGCTACTGACCGAAGAAAGCTTAGCGAGGCATGTGTACTAGATGGTGGGGCATTAATGGCACTTCGCAATGCCCGTCTTGAGAAAGACAAAAAAAAAACCTGCATACACTGCTACAGGTGGCCCTAAAGGAGCACCCATTCGAGTACGAAAACCCACCTCCAAGCCAGGACCACACTTGCCCTACTTGTCTCCGCGTATTGCAAGAGTTCTTACTCCCGCCCCCACAACTCCTCATACCAATATTATCACTATTGCAGCCACTCCACATCTTCTGATAATCGATTCTGAAGAGATCTCAACCGATGAGAGTGAGCCTTAAGACCTCAGTGATTCAGACTGGGCTTCCGTTGTCGTTGTAACCTCCACACGACCTTCCACTTATCTTTCGACAACCTCCCTATCACCAGTGTCTCCTTCCACACCTCCACCCACATGACCCTCCGGACTTGCAAATCTCCTATCAATTAAGGAGCCCTTTTATCTATCCTCCCAATCCCCCCATTCTGCGTTCCAATTTATCACATTTCCCACACTTTTTCTTTACAATGCTACTATTTTCGTTTATGCAAGTTCTTGCTTTCTTTCTTCCGTATTCTGTCAATGTATTCGCTTGTCCAATAGTTCAATATTCACCTCATAGGGGGGTTGTTACGCTTCGACATTGTTGGGAATTGCGTGATCTGAAACTGTGTCAGATGCCGGTATGGTGTCATTTCCCGGTACGCGACGTTAGTGGTTGCGGAGCTGGACCTTTTCATTGTTTTTATATTGTTTGTTTCAGGGTGGTAGGATTCAGCAGTGGGGTTTATGGTGATGGTTTACAATCGGGAGCTTTTGCTACGCCTAGCAGAACTTAAAATCTCTCCTCAAATATGACTCGTGTGATTTGATTGTGTTGACAATTTTGTTTATCGATCACTGTGACAATTTATCCCAGCATAGCAAATGAAC